AGATCTGCAAACCTTTTGAAAATGCCCTTTCTTCCCACAGTTTTTGCAGGTCGCATCCTTAGCGGGGCATTTATATCTCGGGTGACGAGCATAGCCACAGAAGAAACATGAAGACCCCACACTGGCAGCAGTTGCCTGCTCGTGCGATGACGTCCGAGAACGTGGAGACTTTGGTGGGTCGTTCGACACGGTGGCACAGGGGAGTTGAGTGTTCGGCAAAAACGACAACAACTGTTTTTGCGCTAGTTCGAGGGACTTTGCATATTCGTATGCGGTTTTAAAATCCAGCGACTTATGTTCCAACAGTCTCTGGCGTATAGTATTGGAATAAAGTCCACTAATAAATGCGTCTCGTAACGCTTTATCGGTATGCTGTTGTGCACTGACGGCTGTAAAGCGGCAGTCTGGCAATAAACTGCGAAGTTTCTGCACAAACTGATCAATGTTCTGAGCTCCGTCCTGTTTACAAGTGTTCAAAAGATGCCGTGCAAACCCTTCATTTTTCGGCTGTACGTAAATTTCTCGCAAGGTTTCGATGGCTGATTCATAGTCTTTGCAGTCTTTGATGAATTGGTAAACACTAGGTTTTCAGTTTATCTGGTGACTGAGAATCGATTGACTAGGAAGTTTGTGAAAGTACAAAACCAATACTCCCAGGTATCTGCCGAGTCTTGAGTATTGGGGTCGGTATCGAATCGTTCAGGACGTAAGAATCGATCCATTGTTCGAAGAAAACTTTTTTGGATGAATAGATTGTTGTGTACGACGAGGGTCGGAGTGCAACGACAATCAGAACGACAATGGAAAGGACTGAGGGCCCGAAAGCTAGGATTTATTCATCCAAAACTTTGACACTGAGAGCTGAAGACGGAAGAAAGTGATTTAGCAACAAATGATGAGACGTTTGAAAAACAGAGCAAATACATAACACAGACATGGCCCAGTCGCGCCCTCAATGGCGCTCGTGCATCAAAGCTATTGCCTTCAATGCATAGCTTCTTTTCCAACCCCCACCCCCACTTGACAGCCCACTGACAGTGCTGGATTTATGCACCAATGTACCAGCTCGCGCGTGCAATGCGCAGCTACCTACCCCCCCCCCTCAATCATCGGTGAACGAAACTGGGGCAGCTAAAACCATTGGACGACCAGTACCCGGTTCTTACAGCTAACAATGATGTTGATGATGACTTGGCTCGTCAATACACTCGAGCAGCCCAATGACTTCTGTGCATGCTGGTAACGTATCCCGGAGCCAAGGCCATAACCTCAAAAAATCACAAAGCCATACGGGCGATATATGTTAGAGCTGAGGTACCGATAGTTATTGCCCACCACTACGACTATAAACGTCGATCCAGATCATGTTCTCGGTGTCCATTTTCATTAACCTCTCCTCCGGGAAAACCTAAGAGATGGACCCTCCATATGGTGTAAGGAAGCCTTGGAGAATTGCAATTCAAACGAGCACACCAAAGCCATGCACAAAAGCTACATGGAGGACAGTGATCGTTACTCGGAAAAGATAAACACAATCATGCACGACACTGGAAACTGCCTGTAGTGTTTCCGAGCTCATAGACAGAAACCACTAGTTACTTTCGCTGTGGTGCGAGACGATGTGTCTTATTGGGATCAAAGATTAAGTGTTAGGCAGACGTGAACCCATCAAAGTTTTTATGTGGACATTAGAATGTGGCTGAATTAGGAAGTTCAAGATTAATGCAGTCAGGAATTTACAGGAGCCACTTCAATTAGACCAGATCTGTCTATCAAATACGCTCAGTGATGATGTTGGAAACCTGTGCCATGAAAGCCAGGATAGGAATCATAGAAAGCTGTGATTCCAAATTTTATTTGGCCATCTGATTCTATGCCTACCTTCGCTCGACTCGTTCAAACTGTGTGACGGTTTGACATATTCAGATCCCCCTAGATTTATGAAGAAATGGCACCCAGCCACTGGGCCAGAAGAGCTTCCACTGGCACTGTTCAAAGATTGTGGCGAGTCTTGGTGTTCTGCTTCGACTAAATTCCTTGGGCGCCCTGTCTAAGCTTGAGCAACCTGGCAGTATCCCAGCCCTCGAGCTTGCTCCTGGAGGCTTGGCAACTAATCACCGAAAGGGTGCTACAGCTGGACTGTTTTTTTTGCAACGCGACATCGTATTCTTGCCAGTCAAGTCACGTCGGCGCCATAAATTTCAGGGACTATAAAACGCTGCTCCGGCCTTTTGCTCCCATTTTGATAAGTGATTTTGTCTTTCACCATCTCACCAGGACTCACGCAACTGCAAAGACTCAATAACACATAGTTCGATTCACCTGCAAATGAAGTTTGGGTTCGACGCCACACAACCTTGCAGCAGCACTTTACACTTTACAGGCACAAATTACACACCGATGTGTGCAACAGAATCATTTAAGCTATTTAGAATAGCCTACATTTCTCAAGGGTCTGAATCAAGGAGAACATGTTATTATAGCCGTACTCTGTCCGTGGGCGAATGGCCCAGATGTTTGATACTCGAAGTGTGCGGTAAGTAAAGAAATTTCAAACATCGACCGCGAAGCAAAAGAAAGGCAACAGAAGACAGTCCTGCGTGACAACACTGGATGTGGTTAACTCAGAGAAAAGCTAGCCATAGACGCGTGGGGGTTCACGGGAGGCATTTAGAGACAAGGATTTAGAGGGGACATCCTTCATCGCCAAACACCCAGTTTTCAAAAGCCTCGCGCGACGGGAATTAAGGAGCGGAAACCAGAAATGGTTCGGTAACACGCGGCACCGACTGACGTAGAAGAGGCGCCCGGATCACCTGGTAGTAAGTTCTGTTTTTACACTTGGACAAGTCAGTTGGCAGTAATAGACTAGATACATCGCATGCTTATACTTATGTTTTGTCGCTTCATCAAATCAAGTGGCTTAGGTGGTCACACTGGACCTGAATTCATTGAACTGAAGCGAGTTGATTGCAAATGATATACGTTTTTGTACTTTCAATATATTTTTGTCGTATCCTTGTTTTCCGCTCTTTGAGTGCTCTGCGTCAACCACAAATGATGACACCGTGTCGCCCTGGTTATTGAACCGTCTCCACAAGCGTTCAGAAGGTATCTGTCCAGCTACCTGTAAATATTCGGTTACCAGACCTTAACTGCTAAGACGAGTCTGATGACTTGCGCACTTAACCTGAGGGATTCACCGTTCCATGAATACCTTCTATCAGTTTACCTGGACTCATGCGACTC